GATTGATCCACTACTGACATTTGTTCCATCCCATGAGATATCAACAGTATATCTTATTGTGTTGGGATTGCTACTAACTAACACACTACCAGGACAGGTACTATATCGATCATCACAAGTAGTATAACTAGCCAATGCAGCACCACTGATGCTAATTCTAATACCATCGTACAGATAGAATCCAATTTTAGTACAATTCAGTTTGTATTCCTGAGGATATACTGTCATATCAGAAGGAAGACCAGAAACAGCAAATGATTCTATCTCTGCAAATCCTATGAATTAGATTACATATTACCATTACATCAGTAAGTGGATGAATACATGTGTCTCTTACTGAATATATTAGCAAAAATGATGTTAGTGTTAGGATCTGAACAATCAGTGGGTAGACAACACTTGTACCAGCCTTCTTGAGCTGTTGATAGTGACTGAGCAAGATAAAGACTGAGAATAGCATGAAAAGGGTAAGTGACATTAGTACAACGAAAAGGATCACTGGTACTATTACTGTTACAGTCAACAGGATCATCAGGATCAGCAACTCTAACCCACTGACCAGTAGTTAGACAAGAACCAATTAGCACACATAATATAGAGTTATCTACTGAATTGATACTATTATCCCAAAAATATGATCCATTATTACGATACCGAAAATCGTGATCCCACAAAAAGATTCTATCTATAAAAATTAGGCAATAGAATTTTATTATAAGAATTATAGTTTTACCTGAATAACATTTACTGACAATCAACAAGAGTAAAATCACCACTGACACTGGATATGCCATTTTAACAATAAAATTAGTAACGCTGTAGCGTCACTAAGTAGGATTCACCCCACTTCAAAATGGCTGCCACGACTTTTGCAGCCTTGCTATATTGAAACTAGAATCAGCATTGATATTCTTTTGCAATTTAAAGTTTGTCAATAATTTTAAGTAAATTATTAAATTGACTTCCCCAGGTAGTAATGTGGAAAAAGCTAAGGTCCAAAGTCCAAACTGCAGGGGAAACTCAGTGGCGTAGCCAGGATTTTTGGAAAGAGGGGTTGTCCCTAAAAAGCGGACCGGACCGGACCAGCGGACCCGAAAATGCTATTATACGGACCAGTTAACGGACCCGGAAGCATCTACAGCGTATTTCAGCCCACTTGGATCACGGAACAACCTTTCCGTATGCAAGACACTCCCTCTTCCCAATTAAAAGTACAGGTAGGTGTGGATACGGAACGGAAAAAGTGATCCAAGTGAAGTGAAAGACGCTGTACATGACGGACGCGGACCAGCAGACCCGTAAATACTATTATACGGACCAGTCCACCCGAAAACTCTTCGACGGACTTTAAGAAAACCCAAAACTACAAAGCTACACTACTCTAGAGAGCAATTAAAAAGTTATCATGGAGTGTGAAAAAAGTATGGGCTACAACTATGTCAAAAGATTGCAATTAAGTCAGTGCTACGGTCAGGTGAATATTACTGAAACTGAAGCCTGATTGCAAGGCTTAATGCTGCAAGTCTTTCTCTATAAGTATAAAATAACGTAAAAGTAATAAATGAAACATTAATTTTTAGTCAAGAATAACATCAGTTTCACAGCAGTTCAGTTGAGCTTTTGTCCTCCTAATATGGGTAAGTTTGTGCTAGCCTTGAGGTTGTGATGAATAAAACAGCATTATAATGATCTTTTAAGTGGCAAAATTCCATATGACTTGTAGCAAGAGTATCATCTACTCTTGCTTGTAGTATTCACTAATTTCTCAGCACCTTCAGGTACATGAAATTTCTGAGGATCACGCCTTCTTGATTCACTACTAAATTTAGTCCAGTAATAGGGACCTGCATTATTCTTTCTAATTGCGACAAAGATAGGTACTTTAAAAAGAAGAGCTGCTGCCACAATTTCACAGTGAGTTCCCCATACATAGTTATTCCTCATTCTCTTGGTGTGGTCACTCACACTAGCTGGATGACAGTGTGCAGAGAAATATTCTGGATTATTTTCCATAAATTCAACCAGGAGAGACCTGATTTTCAAATGTTGGTTTTCATCACCAAAAATCTAGTAAGAGATACAGCGAAACAGACAGTTTCCATCACCCTCAAATTGTATGCATCTTCCTGTTGTAATTGAACAAAAACTGCATAGCTGCAGAATATATATTTGTGACCTACAATAATAATGATATTTGTTGCCAATAGTCTTTACATTTATGCATACTTTTGAGCCAGTGCACATTTTCATCTGACATCCTTTCTTCTGAATACCTGGACCACCAAACTTTCTTTTATCTTTACAATATTTGCATGTTCCACAGTCTAAAGTTGTTTTGCAACCAACACATTCCATGCATTTCCTTCCTACAGAATTTATATACAAAGTTTTGAGTCAACATACAGGTATAATTTATAATAATGTTATAATCTAGCTAACTTTTGATAGGCTTCTTAACTTCTCTGTTGTTACCTTGATCGCTAAAACAAAAAAAAATTTATGCATTTCATTTCTAGTGATTATATAGAAACCTTTTGAATGACAATGCATTGTTCATTGTTTGAATCTGTCCACTGGCCACTTTTATGTGCTTCTGATCATATACTCTATTCCTGTATGACAGTTAAATAACAGCAGTTACAAAACAGTGCACAATTTTTTACTTAATCTCTGTAATCCCTCCATTATCATGCTGATCTCTGATCCATACATATAGACTATCAACTTCATCGCTATCAAGAGGGCCAAAATACTTCTTTCCAAACATCTCTTTTACTAGATTTTTATCTATTTGTGTTTGTTCCATCCAGTACTTCAGTAATTCATTTTCTTCTATATAGTACTTTCCTCTAGTTTCATCATTGAAACGATCAAAATCTTTTTCTATTTCACTATTCATGACAACTGCTTTCGATGTTTGAGGTGGAACTGGCTTATTTTGAAATCTTAGACTGTCTAGCCATATTTGGACATGAAAACTTTTGTGCAAAAGGAATCACCCTCATTCTGTAAAGATATAAATTTATATGCTATTTTTGATAGATTAATTGTACCTTCTCTATATCAGAACCAACAGAGTCATCAAGGCGAGAAGATGGGTTGAAAAACCGTGAGTATTCTTCTATATGTTATGTTGTTGTTTTCTGATTTTTTCTGAGACCGCTAAAATTTTTCCAAAATTTTTAATTTTTTTTCTTTTTCCGTATTTTTTGCCGAGAGCTTGGGAATGTCTTTGTAATAGCATTCCACTATTTTTGGTATTTTTTCTGATTTTTTCCGAGACAGTTAAAAAGACAGTTTTTGTCTATAAAACAAATCATCTTGTAGTATTTGATTAAGACAATCAATGGAGTAGCTTTCAGTAACCTACAAGTACATGTGAAAAAATTAAATTTTGACAAGGTGTAGCAAATTGCAATAGGTAAATTACTTTCTCTTCAGTCTTAACTGCTGCTGCAGAATCAGGAGCTGGGGTGCTGTCAATCATGTCATAATCATCTATTGTAAAATCACAATATTAATATTAAAATCCATGCACATAGACCACCCAGAGTGAGAATTGCTTGCGTGGGAAGACTATTACGGTTGTAAGGCGTGGTTTACAATGAAATAAATTCCGGCCGCCATTTTGGTTGGCAACTTTCAATGGAGAGCAAACGGGACGACATGAAAACAAACCTGTATTAAGAATTCTGGAGCGAATTTGACAAAGTCTTTCTCAGGATAAGCTTTAAGGTAGCTAATTTTTTACGAAACCACGCCCCCAAAAGGGGCGTGGTCACACCTATTTTTCAACATGGCGGACTCTTGACCGATCATAGCCTGCGGCAACGTTGAATACCTTTTCAGCCTTATAATGGCATCATAGAAAGACTGCTTTGGCCTTTTCCTTTCATATGCAAGTTGTAGAACAGCTTTTTCTTCCAAAAGCAGCTTATTATTTGATTATTTTTAAATTTTGAGTTTAAAAAAAGGGGGGGCCCTGCGGGCTACGCCCCTGGTATATGATTAGAGTTACATTGTTCTTGTTAAGGTTGTATAGATCTACATCTAGATCTATAATTGCAGCTCTTGTATGAATTTTGTGGTTAGCATACAATTGTTGTAGAGTTAGAAATATGGGGCTATCTCCAAGCACAATGATTGCTGCAACAGTTTCAGTGTTGTAAAACTGTTTTATGTAATTAAGCCAGACTTTAATGACAAGGGTGCATCATAAAGAACAAGTGCAGGCAAATAAATTGGCTGAATAAATAAAATGACTGAGCCCTGGATCAAACAATAAATTAAATAAAAAGAGCTGTACACAACTTAACTATGGTATGATTATTTTAAAAAATTTACAGAAAACATAGGTAGTAAAATGGACAGAGTCAATTTAAAAAAAGATACTCAGGACTTTAACACTATGACTATATATGCAAACAATTTTGGTGTCATAATTTGCTCAATAAATTTTTGCCATGATTAATTTTCTGATTTAACTTTTTCAAGCTCTTAAAATCTAACAGAAAGATCTTAATAAAAAGTATAAAGAGCATAACAATTTCAATACTTTTATCATAAAGTAGCTGTTTTATTGGTTCCAATATCAAAGATAAAGGAAGAGAAAAATTTGCAGACACAAATGCTACATTGCTAGCATGATCTCTAAAATAAAGAAACATTCATACATAGATCTAACATTAACAAACTAACTTCATGTTAAACTGTAATATTCCTATCGGAATGGAAGATTCAGTATGAAGCAATAGACCGCCACTCATTCCATTATGTAAAGAAGCATTTGATTTGATGAGAATTGGAATAGAAGAAGCAGGATCACAAACTAATTTAGATAATATCCCAGATGTCACTTTAACTGATTTATGATGATACCCAATAGCATGGACTTGACTGCCTAACAGCTCAATGCCTTCTGGTAAGGATAACTGAAACAAATGTTTAGTATTTGCAGGAAGTGAAGGATGAAGTAACAAAATTGCTAAATCAAGTAATGATGCTGAAAATAATACAGTGGCTGTAAATGAACACTCTCTTAGTTTTACTTCAACTGGATCTATGATCAAGGTAAATAGTGATAATTAATAAATCGATAATAATCAATACATACAGTGACAGCTTTCTTTAACCACATGTGACCAAGTTAGGACAATCGAGGGAGAAAGGATTATTCCACTACCGCTAGTAGCACCACATTTTATGAACACAATATACTGGCCTTCTGATGGCACTATTTTGTTAGCATTTGACTTTACTAATAAAAATTGATTAAAATAATAATCAGTAAACTCAATTACTTTTAGTTGGTATATGAATCACTTCAATTCTAACAAGATCCATAATTATCTCACTTGAAACAACTAATGCCACATCTCCAGTATTCACAGAAGCTACTACAATCATACCTAAAAATCTATACAAAGTATGTTAGTAGCATAAGCAATGTCAACATACTTTAATTCATTTTCATCTAAAGCAATTACTAGTCCACCTTCACAGCCATATACTAACTGCATATCAACCAAAAGCAAATTACTATCAATGCGTTTCCTAATGTGTCCGTGTGACAAAGTGTTTAAGCAATATGAAACAAAATAATCACCGCCAAAAGGAGTACAGATAGAATATACTGTATTGGTTGTCTTTAAATTCTTCATCGGTAACGGAAGAAAAGGAAACTATTAGATAATAATAATAACAATAATAATTGCAATTCACTCACAATTTAAATGATACTTTGAGATCCAATAGTACTAAGGTGGAAAGTATTGCAAGATCAGTGAATGGCAAAATATTTTGGAACATGTCTTGCTGCTTTTCTTTAAGAGAATGAAAAACTTGATCCATCAAAATTAACTTCACTTTACAGTCACTGATTTTCATAGTTGTAAAATTGGAATAGACAGTACACTGTACGCTAACAATATTTTCATGTAATCTGACTACAAATAAAAAGAGAAAGGATGGTACAATCAATCCAAATGTCACAATTAATTTAATAAATCCTAAAAATAATGGTAGCTCAATGCTCCAGCTCACAATGAACATCCTATGCATTGGATATTTCTCCTGGCTTATTTTTCTTTAAAAATAACTATGTAAATCAAAAAGGCATACCGTATAGCAGGGAAAAATGGCTGACTTTATTTTAGCAACTGGCAGATTATTAGTAACGCGGTAGCGTTACTAAGTAGAATTCACCCCCAAACAAAATGGCTGCCACTACTTTTGCAGCCTTAATAATTAAAATCTGTCAAATATGGATATGGTTCAGTCGTAATTAATGTCTAGTTCTTAGGCCACTCCAATTAAATTCATAGTTTTTCCTTACACATGAGGCACTGATGCGGGCGAGCAGTAAGTTAATTTTGATTAAAATAATAAAGTTTCGACAAAGTAACAACTATACCTGATTCCTTGTTCATCAATGAACTAGAAAACGATGAAGAGCCCAGTTATTCTTTTAAAAAAGTGAAAAGACACCTCAAAAGACAAATGTGTTTACGTTATTGTTTCTAATATTTTAATTGAATAATAAAAATATCTGCGCGGGCGAGTGGGTGGGCAAGGAGAAATTTAATTGAAGTGGCCTTACAGTATACATTTTCAAAAGGTGCTACTTGCACGACCACTGACTTACTACGTAATCAAAGCATTAAAAACATGCAAATGACACCCCTTGATTTACATGTATAATAGAATTCACTAACCTGAAGGAATGTCTCTTTGACAGTCTCCTTTGAATGTGCAATCAATTAATTGTGAACACCATGTTCCAGAAGCAAGTATTGCACCAGACTGAATGAATCCACTACCACTACATGAAATAATCTTTCTCCCATCTATATTGGCAGTTAATCTTACAGCCACACAGCAATCACTCGCCAGATCCATTTAAAGTTAAACAGCTCCCTGAGTCAACTTCAGTCAAGTCACAAAAGAAGAAATTTTGGACACTAGAAGATTCTAGATAGGCGTGGCTAGATTTAATTACATTTTTCAAATCCATTTTTACAAATTTTAGAATTTTAGATCTAATCTAGATCTAGTTCAAATCACAATAAAATATTTTGCTCAATTTATAAAATACCAGAGTTTTTGAAAAGTTCATTAAAAAGTTTTTTCTAGCAATAAGCATGTTTGGAGAGTCAAATTCTGCAATGTGTCCATTATCCAATACCATTACCCTGGGGGAGGTAACAAAATAAATGATAATACAATGATCACAGTACCTATTATAATTCACAATAGTGTTAATACCGTTAAAATTGTACAGTTAGAAAAGTCGGAACAATAATTCAAACCATCAATTTCTAAATCAACAGCAGCAGTAGCTTCATCTAATACTAATACCTTTGTTTTACGAAGTAAAGCACAAGCTAGACACACTAACTGACGTTGACCAACACTGCATGAAACACAATAATAAAGCCAATGACACACAAGTAATAAAATTGATTTCTTACCTCAAATTTTCTCCTTCAGCAACAGGGTAGTACAATCCTTCAATAAGTCCACTTACAAACTCACTCAAATGAGCAGTTTCTAACACTCTCTATAACTCTTCATCAGATTTGGTGTTAAAAGGATCAAGATTGACTACCATGATAATGTGCATTAATTAACCTGTGGTATTATAGTAATGTTAGACCTAAGATTCCTTAAGTACTGATATCTATGCTCTTTTCCCATCATTAGTGCAATCTGACATAAAATGTACTTACCTAAAACAAGGGCAAGCCTTTCAATCTCTTCAAAGACGTTCAATTAAAATCCACCAATCATCAAAATTTAGCAATTTGCGAAATTTAATTCCTTCCAAAATTTCCTGTTATAAGTCCTTTTAATGCATGTACATGTACATAT